GGGTTCGGTGGAGGGAGGGTTAGTGTACGTTCTGACGTGCGCAGGAGTTTCTCAAAATGTCTGTCGCGTTGACCAGAAGCTGTTCCACTGTCACATCATCTGTGGTGTGTGCTAAGCGTACAGTAATACCAGCAGGGGTGATGTTTTCATAATTACAAGGCACCACGTGTTGTGACGTCATCGACACAGAATTTCAGATGACTTTCTGTCTGCACGTACAGAACTACCCGTGTTTTCTGGTTTCCTGTGTTTTGTGTAAAGACTGAAGGCTGGCACAGGTGTTAGTGCTGTGACATGTGAGTGGATATACCACGTGATTGTGTATTCACGAAGGTAAGAACAGTTTGTATTCCGTGTTGCAGATAACTTTGTTGTAATATACAGTAGTGAAGACTGGTTTTTTCTTCTGAGTTCACGTGTGGATATCCAATGTATATTTTCTTAAATTCAAGGACAGTGAAGTTTTTAAAAAACTAAATCACCTTCGAGGTAATCGGTATTACTAAAGAATTTTTAGTTCTTCGAAGCAGAATGCTCGTAAAGTAAGGTATATCAAAAGCAAGGAAAGAAGCCAGTAATTGAAAGAATAGATTTTTCATCATTTCAAGAAGTCTACGAGATAGCGACGATGTACAAGACTGTGAGACACGGCGAGAACTCTCTCCAGTACACAATTCTCCCTCAACAAGATGACGCTGCAGTAATGACGGCAACCAACAGCGTCTGTGGACGTTCCGTCGCCGGCGTACGTCGGGGAGCAAGGCGAGGTCGCATTGCCACGATTCTGATCTTAACACTGATCCTAGCATGTGGCGTCATCGGGGCAGTCGCCTTGGTACACCTGTTAATCTCCACTGACCTCGTGTCACTTCCATCGGCTCTACAGCGTTTCAGAACCAATAACAACGTCGACCACCACGGTGGCCGTCATAGTTCGCACTCGATGGTTCCACAGGGGAACAAGACGACGCCTGTACGTCAGAACACGACGCCGTTGTCGAGCTTTGTGTCTGAAGACGCGCCTACGTCTTCTAGCGTCAAGTTCGATCAGAGTTCGACGAGTGTCGGTCCACCGCCATTGTCCGAAGTCGTGATGGGAACTACGACGGAACGCGTGGAAGTTGTGGCGACGTCAACAGAAGGAGCCCTCACGACGCCTGTCGAGGTCGGCGGACGTCTGGAGGAAGACGTCGGGGCCAAGGAACATGACCACTTTGGCAGCAGCAAGAAGAAGGCTCTTAACGAAGACGCGAGGAACACCACGACGAGGGTGTTCGTGTCTTCTGCCACGGGCGAGGACAAAGGTGTGTTGGTGCTGGATGTCGGGAGGTCGACCGAGCGCCCCAAACACAGGTCCTGGCTGGAGCCGCGCTGGTCCTTTGCTGATCCCTCGTCCTACTTACACTGGGTGGTGAGTACATGTTTCGGCACCGCGCCCTGAAGATGGAAGCAATATTTTACTTCGAAACGTTTGTGTATATATGCGTTATAACCCAGAAGACCGACGTCGAGTTCTTTGCATAAGTAGGCCTTCGCAGAATTTAGACACCTGTCTTAAAGTCTCAGCCCAGAAACTTGACAGATTTCTATTTAATTTGGTGTTAACGGCTAAATGCCAAAAAAAATGACCGTGCGAATTTAATCGTAGTTCAAATCTGTCTTATATAAGGCGTACTTTATATGAAGCGCAAATCAGATTTTTTTATATTCTATTAAACACGTCAAGTATTTATGTCACTGTGGGATCAGAATTAAGATAAACAGGTAAGAATAATTGCATCTTATCCTGTTTTAACGCCTTCTCGCCCTTTCCAGCTTGTATAAAAAAAATTCTGATGGTGAACTTGTAGATTGGTATCAACGTTTCGGAGGGACATTCTGCTTCCATCTTCAAGGCCTGTACTTAAGATCTTGTACTTACTGTTACGATTATCTTTATTGTCGGAAAGAAATTAACGTCAGAAAATAGGATTAAGCGCTTAACGGCATTCGTTTGTTTTGATTCGTTGTCAGTTTAATTTACTAACTGTTCGGGTTTAACACGCAAGAGTTTACCAAGTATTGAACCAACCCTCAGCTGACAGTGGGTCAGTAAATCACCCGACCGTCTGACCGGGGTTATTACCCCCCACCCCACCCCACCCTCCATCCCCACGTCTCGACTTCGCTGTTTCATCGTCTTCCGTCACCCCCCTCCTACGTAACAATTGTCATCGTCCCTAAAAGGTATTTTGGGTTCAGTGAAGTCACTGAGAATTCATTTATTCTCGGAAGGCGTCAACTTCGGTTCAGCCCTTAAATGAGAAGAAGAAGAAGAAGGCTGGAAAATGAATGAGCAGACTCACATTTTCTAAAAATAACATTAAAATGGCTCGTGAATTTTATGGTTCCGAATCAATAAATCTCAAAGTTACGTAATTAATATGCTTATATAAACGTGCTGCCTTCATCTTCAGAGCTGAAGTCAAGTCTTGAAGATGGAGGCAGCAATTTCACTCGAACCAGAATACCCGAGAAAATAAGGGTGTTTGAGAACGGCAGACATATATTTTGTTACCAGCTGTTCGGGTGATCGTATCAGCGGAACATGTAGCACGAATGGGAAAACGTAAATTAGTGCATTTTAGTTGGTAATCCTGATTGGAAAAGAGCACTTGGGAGATCTAGACGTAGATGGAAGGACGACGTGGAAATAGATCGTAAGGAAACATTGTGTGGGCTAGACTTGCGTGCCTTGGATACGGACGGGCTTTTGTGAACACGGCAGTGAACAGTTTGGTCCGATGAAGGGAGGGGAATTTCTTGACTAGAAAAAGGACTGTCGTTTCCTCTTGTTGGTAAATACCGACGTTTCGGTAGCGAAGAGAAATTGCTGTGGACCGCCTTGAACCTTCCGGGTCTCGCTTGTAGTTTGTTTACTAAAACAAATTTCCGGGTTATACCAATAACCTTATTTCATTCTGCTGTCTACAAATTGCTTTTGTGAGCGATGTTCATCAATGCGACGGCGGTAATGAAATTTCATGGAAGCGAATCGCCTTTTTATTTCGTGTTCTTTTTCTTTGTGTTCCGTTTAAGGCCGTGCCGTGTTTTACCTCGGTTTGACGGGACGTATAGCTCACAGGGGACTGGGGTTTGGGCTAGAGGCAGAAGAGAGAGCGTGTCTGAAGGCAAGAATGACGCAGCAAAAGGGACAAGAGAATTTACAGTTGTCAGAGCACAAACAAAGCGAAATTACTGCCTACGATCCTTAATTTTGTTTCAGTCCAGGTGTTCAACACAAAGCACCTAATCTGACTTTCTCTCTTTGGTCTGTCGTTTCTAAGAAAAACAAAGTTGAATCGGTAAGCCTCTTCGAAGCTCTTATTTTGGAGTTAGTGTGTTCGAAGTGAAAAGTGACGATACTGTTTTTGAATTAAAATTTATAATCTTATATACATTTCGCTGTGTAGGGTGGTAGTGTTGTAATCCATGAATGTTGTGAGCCGCCATATTTAATGTTAAAGAATACGAACAGCTGTGGTGTTGTTAGCTAGCAACAATGGAAGTTTCGTCTTGTGTTGCTAAAAACTCCTCGATAATTAACAGTGCCGCCATGTTTTGTGCACGTGAGGGTAGACCGTTGAACGTCGCATTGTTGGAGAGACAGTTATGTTTATTCGTCTATTATTTAACGGTACTGACTTAAAAGTTCAATTATTCACCTTTCGTTGAGAAATAACAATGTGATTGATAACATCATAATGCAACAATGGAAGGTCAGTAAATTGTTTCTATTAATGTCTGGTGAAACTGATGCTTGTGTTGCTAGCCTTGAAAATGAGAGACGAATGTTTTCAAGGAGGATTGATTTATTAATATTCCGACATGTGATGAGCTGTCGAGACAGTGTCGTAGTGGATTTTAATGACGTTTGGTGTGGACGTTACGTGATTAACGGAATAATAAGTCCAGTTGCGTTGGATGTGGTATTCAGACAGGATATTCTTCCATACACAGGAAGGAAGTTCTAAGATTAGATGGCGGAACCCATTTATGAAACAGCTCGTAGCCAAAATGTGTGGGCCAGGTACTTGGGTTTACGTGGGTTCTTAATCTGTCTTATTCCTTCCGTTCAGAGCTTAGTTGGAAGCGTGAATGATCAGAGAGACAGTCGACTGGCGGTGCACTCGAAACGTCGCTTTGTTGGGACGTAGACGATAAACTCGACGACAGGACGTAACTGAACGGCTGAGAATTTAATCTGACATGTCATTAACATTGTCACAGTGTGTTTCGTAATTAAATGCGCATATTTCGTGTTCTTATTTAGCGATATTAACTGAGAACTTAACGAAATTGGCTAGGTATGTTCTGCGATAAAGAACAACTTAAAAATCCCGTTCCAATTTTAATTATTCGATCTGTATTTTTTTTATTTAGGGCAGCGAAAAATGTGTATCATGCGATACAAAATTATTTGTCGTTTGTTCTGCTGATTTATAAATTTTCCGTTCGGTCAGATATTCCGTATAATCGGATATTTGATTTCATATTTTATTGTCTCGTCGCCAGATTTTCGGTGTTTATGAAATATGTCATTCTGTACGGAAATGTCAGTATCTGCTACGTCTGGGTAGAAGGCTTAACGGTAGCTCCGTCGGTAAATTGCGTTTTATACGCAGGGGGGAGAGAGGGGAAGTGGCAATTTGAGAAGACTTCACATGACAATGCTTTTACCGAGCCCTGTTCCATCAACAAAGTTGCTTTTTAAGGTTTAATTAAATAAAAGTACTCAGCTGTTTGATGAAGGGTATAAATGAGTACAATATCCATTTATAGGGGGGATTATCGAATTTCAGTTCCCAAAGACCTTGCAACTGATTGAATTCTTCTCTGTAATTGAATTCATTTCTCTCGTTTATTCATATTTGAATGTATTTACGAAATCGTTTAATTTTTTAGGTTAAAGCGTGTGAAACATGATGTTTATAATCCACCCCATCTCATTCTTGGTCTTCCAGTTGGCTGTTTTCCGACATGTTTGGACACGTTTATGATTTTAACAAAATCTGCTGTAGAAATGCCCGGCGGGCCTTAATATTTTGTCTGTCGCTGTAGAAACAATGCCCGCTGTGATTCAACTCGTAGCTACGGATTAACTGAAAATAAATGAAAATCTTTCCATGACGGAGATTACAGCTGCACGAAGTTTTCCATTTAATGAACAAATACGCTTTAAGCGAAATGTTGGTCTTTTATTATTGTTATTTTTGTTCTCACTGCTTCTCAGTAGTTTTGAAATTCATTGTTGTGCAGAGTATAAAATTAATAAATGTTCTTTTTTATTATTTTCTAGAAATTAACGTATTTAGAATTATTATTCATTTCCAACAGCTAATCTCTTTTCAGTTGTACGAGAAATAAAAACAGTTGAATGTTTTTTCTATGGCATAAGCCGTTATTTTCGTTATCTCACAACACATTCAGAATGCGCTTTGGATTAAATCCTTACGTTGCAAATGGATTAAATACATCGACACGAACGTAAAGGCACGTTAGCCCTAGTAACAGTTGAGTGTTCGAATTTCTGTAAAATTGTCTACGTCTTTGTATAATTCTGATGTGACCTGGTCCTCTTTCTGAAGTCCTTAAGTCATTTATGATGAAGGTCGTTTCGATTACGTGTTTCAGTATCATAAAGACACCTTAATAGATGTTATATCCATTTTTTTTTCATTGCGTGAGGAAGTTCGAATATTTGTAAGCAACAGAAATAATCTAAAATTGAATTCACGAAGAGATTGAATCATTTGTGAACTTGTGAGTGAGCGTAAATCCCACGGGTGTGTAGCCTATCGTCTTTCGGGTGATATGGAGGCAAGATAACATTAATATGGAGCATCAGGTTTCCGCAATAAATATATCATCGACTGAATTATCTTGTTTCCTGTATCAAATATCTGATTCGTAAATCGTGTTCCGGGAGGAACGTTACGTGGCGTTGGACTCTAGGACAGATGGACGCGACGTGGATGTCCTAGTGATCCACGGTGCTCTGTTGGAGGTGCTGATGTCCAAACCAGTGAACTGTACGCAGGAAGGCTTTAGAAACGCCAATCATCAATCGACTGTGTAGTTTCAGGCGTACCGTCGGAACTAAGCATACTTTATTTAACGACGCTAGCACAACTGAATGGTTTGTGAAGGGTCGAATTTGAGGATAACTTAACATTGACTCGATAAATACGTGAAGAGAAACCTCATCATTGCCCTGCGTTAACCAGTCGATCTTCGTAATGGTGAAGTGCGGTGTTTTCTTCGCGGTACGGACTGAAATCTTAAATATAATTTATATGAGCTTCGGCTCCAAAGGGTTAATTAGCGTTTTAGTCGTATTATTTCCTTAAACAAGGTTAACCAGTTGATCACTGTAATGGTGAAGCGTGGTGTTTTCTTCGCGGTACGGACTGGATTATTATATGTTGTTTAGAACAGCGTTGGCTAGTGATGTACTGTCTGCCGGACCAGCTCACGCGTATAGTTCGATATTGATTCCTACAGTGACGCTGTTCTTCTGTTTACAAAGTAATTTTCCGATGTTACATCGACGGCGGGACCCCGGGTGTGGATGATACAATGCAGATGTTACCCTAGTTGAGGGATCAGTGTTCAGTTATGTAGCGTGGCAACTGTAAGTTGGCAGATTCTGAGGTAATGTATGTTTAAGCCGTAGTCCAAACACTTTGTCAGTTGAATAGCCCCGGGTCACCAAGACTAAATCGATCAGCGCAGTGCTAGGATGTTTGGAGGTAAAGCTCCACACATTCTAAATCTCGTGACTGTATGCAAGTGAGTTTCCAGCTTCACTCTGGGGCAGCCTCGGGATAGTGAAAATTCTCCCCAACCCGAAATCAAAAATAAGTGGAAATTAATCTACCGTATCTAGAGTAACTTTAAATTTCAGAAACACGCAGTGGCGGATCTGAGAACTGCACCGCAAAACAGATATTACGTCATAATTCGTTGCCTGTTTTAAGGCATTGTCCAAGAAGGGACTGGGTAAAACCCCGGAAAACTTATCAGTGTAGTCCGTTCACTCGTGAGGTTCGAACTTGGTACATCTCGAATCCGTCTCTACAACTACGGAAGTCATTCACCGAATCCCGTATTCTAGTGAAATCAATTAAATAATGACAAACCACCCATTCAACCCAGTAAATCAAAGACCATGACCGCTGATTGGAGCCTTGTAGGGAAGAGTCGATTTAGATGCATGTACAAGTCAGCGAGTGGTGATGCAAGGTTAGGTTACAGACCGTTCTTTGAGCGCATCTCCTTTGTGCTGTGCTGCAGGCAACTCATTCGACCTTGCGGTACTGCATGTAGCCTACCCATGTCCGTGACCGCTTACTTCGTGACTGTAAGTTCTCGGATCTTATCTCGCGCCGTGATATGTTCCCCTCCCCCAAATTTACATGCATAAGAAGGGTCTGAATTGCTACTCCCAGAGCAAGAACGGGCTAAGTCATGGCTACGTATTTTTAGGCGACCTGAGTTGCCTTCTCCTTTTGCCAAATCTTGACTTTTGTCTTCAACCTGTATTTATCAGAAGGACGAACGGACACTGCCTGGGAACCTGACCTCTCCCCGTCATTGCTTTTCTCCTGTTTGTTCCTCCTTGTTTCCCGCCTAATACCACAACATGGAGTCGTGTGTGGTAATGAGCGTGGAGTTAAACTTCCACGCGTTCTGTGAACAAGCGTGAATGGCCCTTTTAATAAAAGGGCAGATCAGCTGGTGATCATTTGCTATCCGTAAGGGACTTGGGCTGTTATTGGCTATGCTTTTTTGAGTGAGGGCTGTACATGTATACTTACCAGGTTTCTCGATTAAGGAAGGTGAAGTAATGATTTTAACTGTGCTGATTTGTGTAAAAACTTCCACATTCCTTTGTTTTTCCTTAACATTAAATTTATTCACTTCTAACATCTGATCTTCTGTTTTTATTTACAATTAAATTTAATATAATTCAACTGTAATCTACATTACATAAAACATGCTTATTACCTAACAATTTTTCACATTTCACTTAATATTAAATAACACTCATAAACCAACCAGGAACATAGTAATCACTGTATTTCCCAGTCACATTAAGCGAGAATCAAATTTGAGTCTGAGAGGTTAGATATTTTTAGGTTATTTAGAAACACTTCAGTAATATTATTCATTTAGATTGTTACTGGTAATAATAAGTTTTTAAAAATAACGAAACGGACAGAAAAAGCAAGGGAGATGATCCTCAGATGATCCCAATGTCTGTGAGCCCCTTACATCAAGGGTGAAAAACCTATACAAGGCCTATGGCCACATTGACCCTTGTTTATCAACTCATGGGCCACAAAATTGTAAATGGGGAAAGAGAATGAAGCTTCATGGCAATTTATTAAAAATACTACTAACTTCTTCCACAAATAGGTACACATGTAACTCAATGATTTCATTTAATAAAATCGGTCATTAATGAGTTAACGAGTGTATTTTAATAGTTTTCGCATTTTTGACGTAAATACGTCTAGGAGGAAGGGTCATTCGGCAAAAAAGTGTTACAAAAAAGGGAAACGAAAAAGTGTAACTTCTTTGTTATGTTACCTAGGAAACGTCATCTGTTTACTCAGCATTGTTGTTGCCTATAAAACATTACATTACATTACCTTACCTTACATTACATTACTTTACATTACCTTACATTACATTTCATTACATTACATTACTTTACATTACATTACCTTACATTACATTTCATTACATTACATTACATTACTTTACATTACATTTAGCTGCCACAGACCCATTTTAAGGGTAACTAATTGAAATTGAATAAGCAATGTCTTCATCAAACTTGTCTCAATTGTAAAGCATGTATAAAGGAAATATTTAGAATAAAGCCAATATATAAACTTCCTTTCCGTATAGACGTATTTACGTCAAATTCTCCGGAACCGTGGTTCCACTATCACTTTTTAAAGATGTGTTTTTTCAAGTAAAACTCTAGATTTTCCCGTTATTATCGACGGGTAATTTTCCGGGTGCGTCGTATAGAGTTGATGTAATTTACGGTAACTTTCTTTGTGATATCGACAGCTGCGTCCGCGATGGCCCGTAGGTCCTTGTTGCATAGACCGTTTCTGGTTATATTACGTATCGATTTGTGTAAAAGAATAAACCGAAACAGCAGTTTGTAAGCGGTCAACTTACCGGGCGAGGGCTTGCCTACGTCAGACACGGTTGAACCCCAAGGGAATACTAAGCACGTTTGCCACGACGATAGGTGAGGATTGGTAGTGAAGGGCCTATCGCATTCGATGAATAAATGCACGTTTTAATTAATCTTGTAGCGTGTGATATGAGATCTCAGTGTTCTACTGCAAACGTCACAGTATTCTGTTGGCTTTTTGTTCAGGACGAAAGCCCGAGTCGTGTTACTGCATTTAGTTGTGAATCGAAGAAAATTCTGGTTCAGGAAAGTCTCGGGTCCTCCCGGGCACTGCCCAAGAATCTCCCAGCATCTCCGTGGCTTATTTACTTCTGTGTAATGGTTAAGAGTTGTGTTTTCTTCGCGGTACGGACTGGATTTTTAAATAATATTTGGATGAGCTGTGGGCTTCAGTGGATTAAGGCACTGTCCCAAAACGTTCCTGGAGGATCTGAGGATTACCAGATCAATCTGGTTTCGAGTCCGAGGTTCAAACCCGAGACCTTAGGCATGTATACCAGCCACTGTGCCCTGAAGTCCTGGGGATTTTTTTTTTTTGGGGGGGGGGGTTATTGAAAGTAACAGCATGGCGACTGCTCGAAACTATTTCCTGTTGCCGACGCCTGATAGCCTAATTTGTGCGCTATTAATGTATTGAAACCTACGGAACTCGGTACTTTGGAATCATAAAATGCACAGCACTTAGAGTAAGTTTCGTAAGTACGTGTTTCAGTTGATGTTCATAACGTTGTTTGCCTGCTTTCTGTTGCGTGCTGCAGGGTTACAACAGCAGAGATAGCATTCTCCTGCCCCTGGCACTGGGTGTGACTGTGCTGTTGGTCGTGGTGTCTGCCTGCGCCTGTTGCAATATTCGACGCCGACTACAGAAGACGATCCGACGCTACACGATTGGGGTGAGTCTGCGCTAGCCGACGTGCCTGCCAAGCACACCGACTCTCCCATCTTTAGCCCCGAAGATCGAGGCAGTATATCCCTCCGAAACTTCCTTCCCCCCCTCTCCCACCAGAAGATCTCTGTGGGCATAATTGCGTCCTTGAGAACCTCAAATTTCTTCGTCGTCGGGGAAAGGGCTTTCAGTGTCTCTGGGTGGATTCGAAGGAAAGTATGTAATGACGTCCTGATGATTGAGGCAGTAAGCACTCCGAAACGTCGGTAATATACCAGACTACACTGCGCAACATCCCTGAAGGCAGGTATTTTTATTCCAGAACCTGAAATCTCGCCAAATATCGAAGTCTCAATGGATGTCAAAATTTAACGTAAGATATTTTTTTAAAAAAAATTCTTCTTCCTTCGTCTGTTATTGTCTGTCTCGTGTTTTACAACATACCATTGCCGATTATTGTTACAGCCACTAAATTTAATAGAAATCCGTCAATCAGTTTTGGAGAATTAATATGTGGACTGTCATGACGTTAATAAACATTCATTTAAGCGCTTTATATAGAGAACCAGTGGGGAAAATTTAAAGTTGTAAACACATGGTCCAAAATCCCTTAACGTCATTACCATGGCAACGATTATGAGATCACCTTAGTGATTTCCTGGTGGATATCACATTGTCTTATGGATCGGTCATTTTTCAAGACTTAGAAGGCGCTGCCTTTTTCCACGGTTACTCGGGGCACAATTTTACGTGAATCACGTACCGATGGCACGGGGGGAGGGCTCTCGCGCGTGGTCATAAATATTCACGCTGTCCTGCGGTACAGCAGCGGCATCTGGGGGCTGCAACCTAGAAACTGAGGCTCCAGGCTTAACCTCACTGCACACCTGAACAGAAACATGGAAGCTCTAAACTGGGGCACACAGATCCGCACAAAGACTTTGTCCATGAACAGTTTAATGATTTCAATTACGAACGGAAAGCCATAGGAATTTACCTGATAGTCGTTCATCTCGTTGAAAACATACCCGTATTTTATTGAACAGTGCCCTCAAGTGTCCGCCATTGATCCCTGTTCTGTGTCACTTGAATCCAGTCCACATCCTTACGCTTAGAGATAAATTTTAATATTATCTTTCTGTATTTGCGAAGTTTTGTAAGTGGGCTTCTCTCAGGGTCTCGTGTAGTCCTCTCAATGTATGTAATTGTCAAGATTTCAGGAGCATTCCTCCCAAATTCTTCTCGGGTAACTTATCATTAATGAATTAATAAATAAACGCTTTCATTTATCTCCGACCTGCCCCCTTTCTAGGACGAACGGAATTTCGAAGTACTGAACGTTAAACTAAGTGTCACGTGTAGTCAACACGAACATTTAAGGAATTTACTGAATTCTCCCTCGACGTTTTAAGCGCAGACTTGACATCTGCAGGAATAATAATAATAAACCGACAGAGAAATTCGAGGAACTTCGTTGAATTTCTACCCACCAAAATATTCCGCCTTTGGTATTGGCTCGGGGGTGGAGATGGGGCTTATGGTAGTGTCAACATTTTCGAAGCTATGCCGTGAAAGTCACCCTACGACCGGTGAAATATATTTTCGCCGCTAAGGAAGAAATAGTATTGAGTGCTGGGAATTTCATATTACTCGAACATTTTACGAGTTGCACCTGTTCAGGAGAAAAGTGTCCTAAATGCCTGCATGGGTTTTATCTTTAACAATCTCCTTGGAGCAGAGTCCTTCACAGATTGGCAGCCCTTCAGCTGGTCAGTAATTTCCCACGGCTTTAATGAAAGTCGAAGGTTCATTGCCGTGTTAACAAAAGCCCACTTCTGGTCCAAGGACCAGTCGAACCCAGTCCACACCCCTCTGCCCCCTTTTTAATCTAAGAATCATTTTAATTATATTTCCCCTATCTTTTCAAAATGGCCTCTTTACTCCAGGTTTTCGATTGGAATTTTTGTATGAAGATTACCGCCTTCGAGAATGTTGTTCCGTGTAGTGTCGTATAAATTAAGCGTCGATCGCCCTAATAATTGCGGCAGGAATCACATCTGAAACGTCGGCCGATTTCTGCGAGTACGCGGCTCAACATCCCAGAAAATAGTCTTCATTCGTGCAACAGCCCCGAAGATCGCGTTGCCCGTACAGTGGATGCCTGAATTTGCATCCAGTCGGCAGTGAAAACTTCAAATGTTTTCCGTCAATTTTGAGAACCAAATTAAACCATCCGAGAGACTCTCTGATCGAAATTGAACTTTTAAAAGCAAGAGATACACTGCCATATAAATGATTAAACGGAGCGTAATTAATCAAATTAAATTGTAGCATCTTACGAAGGACATCTGAAACGACCTGTCTCGCAAATATCATTTTCAGAATTTATTTTTTTAACCAGACTGGAGCCTCGTGCTGGGATTCAATTTCCTGATCCCGTGTCTCTGGGGATCGATAATTATGTCGACTGCAACGAAACAGCAGGGCGAGTTTGTGTCGGTAATACAGATATCTGCACGCATTCAGTGACTTCGCGTGTCTCACACTGATTGACATTTTAATGCAAGGTTAGGTTAGTAATAAATTTAAGACGAGTGTGCTCAGGTAACGGGCTGTTGTGAACACGGTAACGAACCTTTAAATTTCACAAAATGATTTCATTAACTAACATAAAATACGTAGTTTTAAATAAAGTCTTTGAGCTGTGGATTTCTCATTTCTGTTGTGGAAGTTCTGAGTTTATTTTATGAGCTCGAAGTCCAGTGTCTTGAGTGAATTTCGTTTTGAGATTCCGTTCTTTTTCTAACCTTTCAAAATTCTGGTATATTTTGTGATAATTTATGATGAAGTGCCTTGTAGCAAATCCATTTGGAAGTACATTACGAAACAAACAGGTCGGAATAATTTTAAACAAACCATTCCTGAGGTCTAACTCTTTTTCTCGTGACCCGTTCCATTTTCAGTCATTGATCTTGGTGACGTTAGTATGACCTTTGCATCTCCGACTGTTTGCATTTACCGCAACGCGTTCTTAAAACTCCCGTCGAAGTTAGGTTAGGTTAGCAGCTAACTGCTGGCTTCGCTCTAGTGGAATTTTGTGTATAAATTGACTGCGATGGAAATTCGACGTTTTGGTGAAAGTCCTTAACTCTCAGTTGACAAAAACTGTACGTACCACAACACGTTAAACGGGAATGTACAGTTCTTGGCGTTTGAGACTCATCTTCGAGTCCTCCGCTGACGTCTGTAAATTTGTGAAAGCCAAATATCGCGGTGTACAGGCGGGAAATGGTTAATGAAGTGGAATTATTACGTAGGTCGTCATGTTTTGGTTTGAAATTATATCGACTAGGACCGAAGTTCGCACTAAAAACAAACATATTGATGTATAAAAGTAGAATTTCCTTATCTTTGTTCATTGAGGATGTTTGATAAACAATAGTCTAGTCACTGACGTCATACCCTTATGACGTCAGTGACTCGATAAAGGATTACTGTAATACTCTTATCACTTAGAAACAAGGAAATAAAAATAACGATATAATAATATTTAGAAGATGTTGCAGTTTTGAGACATTTTGAAATAAACTTAAGAGGTTCTGTATAAAATATGGGAATGTAAATGTCGTTATCCAGAAATATGTCAGAACGAATTATTTTCGTTTAATTTGATAGACATTTGCTAATGTATTCTGGAGACGAAATATATAATGGAGAGACAGACGTGACCTTCATTTTCTTTTTCGTCTGTTTTCGTACACGCGCTGGCGATTTGTTGGGCGCAGTGCCCGAAAGCAGAACTAGCAAACAGACCCGAGTTCTGTTCCGAAGGTCATCTGTTGTACCTCAGGAATTGGATGCAACAAGCAGAACAGATAAAAGGAGAGGTTAGTAGGGGACATTGAAGTCAGAAATCTGTAAAAATTTTAAAATTAACAATTCTTCGGGTTGATAACATTCAGTGACGGTCTAAAAAATTGCCTGTAATTGACGTAAAATGTTA